ATGAAGGAAACTATCTTCTTCTCAAAAGCAACAGCAACCTCATCATTGAAAGAGACCTCTTGAGACCTCACGTTTGCTAAGTTGGCTCCTCAATAGCTACAAAGACAAAAGATAACCAATAGCTATAAAGACAAAATATAACTTCATTTGCCCTCTGCTGCCATGCCATTCAATTTGTTAAAATCTAATTTGACTTGTCATAACAAAAGAACTTTCTTTCACCTACTTGAATTTTTCCCAAGCATTAACCTTGTCCAAACAACACAACAACCAAAAATACAATCTTCAAATTAAAACCATAAAGCCAGGCCTACATCCTGCAAACTTAATGTAAGGAACAAATAAAAGCTACCAATCTGAAAAACTCCAAAGCTAGGCCTTTAAGGGCACCAAGGAAAACAGTACTAAATTCATAAAGCAGTTCTAAAGGAAGCAGTGTGACAACACCATTAATACTACAGTCACCTGCATGCTCCAATCCTCAAAATACTAGTATTCTATAGCATGAATAAACAATTTACATAATTTACAAGGCACCAGTATAAAAATTTTATCATCAAATAGTTAAGAAAAAATGACTTGGCTACCGAATTTAATTGAATAAACAAACAATTCCTAAAATCAACCTTCTCTTTTCCAGATTCAACAAGAAATTGGAGTAAGAAAACAAAAATACTTTCTACCCCTGTTGCTGCATACTTTCAGAAGGTCGTTTGCCTTCAATTCCTTTTTTGCTACCGTCGATGGCGCGATTGCATTTGAAAAATTCAAGGAACCGATGATTAAAAAGAGACCCAACAAAAAAGAGAGAGATTTTTTCGATTTGTTTGGGTAGATAGAGCTTACTGTCACTCGGTCCCTTCTCTTCGATGGAGATGATGAATTGCAGTGGAATCGGAGGATTCGGAGGAGTGGATGGAGATGAGAGGCGATGGAGAAGGAATCGGAGAAGAGGCAAAGGCAAAAGAGGTAGAGGCAAAGGCAAAGGCAAAAGAGGTAGAGGTAGAGGCAAAGGCAAAGGCAAAGGGGAAGGGCTGAGAGGCAATAGAGAAGGAATCGGAGAAGAGGCAAAGGCAAAAGAGGCAGAGGCAAAGGCAAAGGCAAAGGGGAAGGGTTGAGAGGCGATGGAGAAAGAATCGGAGAAGAGGCAAAGGCAAAAGGGGTAGGGGCAAAGGCAAAGGGGAAGGGCGGCCAAAGGGAAGGGGTTGAGAGGCGATAGAGAAAGAATCGAAGAAGAGGCAAAGGCAAAAGGGGCAGGGGCAAAAGCAAAAGGGAAGGGCTGAGATTAATAAAACGGCGTCGTTTTGATTAGGACTCCAAATTTTTTTTTTGGAGTAGGGACTGATGGCCACTTTACCATATATATATTTCTAAACTCAAGAGTTTTAGTCTGCCACCCTATTGGTCAATTAAATCAATCATCATATTTATTTTCAATGAATTGCAGCTTAGTTGATCAGAAAATGAGTGCAGCTTAGTTGATCAGAAAATGAGTTGCAGCTTAGTTGATCGGAGAATTTGTCTCTCAATTTAATGATTAAAAATTTATTATTTGAAAAAATAAATTTTCAAAATTTTTTTAATTTAATGTAAATGATTTATTTTTTTACTAAATTTGAGATGAATTAATTTTAAAATATGTATAAATTGAGTTGAAAACAACTTGATTGTTATTAGATGTGAAATTTGATCTTTAGGGAAAAATCAAAATAATTCATAATTTAAATAAAAATATTATATTTACAATATCACGTAGTTTAGTAAATTTATAATATAATATATTATTATATAATTAATTTTTTATTTATAATTTTATTTATAATTTTATATGGATCAATTTATAATATTATATATTTTTATTTAATATTATGTTATATTTATTTAATATTATATTACAATTATAAATTTATAATTTTATGTGTCTTTCTATTTATAGCATTGCATCTAATTTAAATGTAGAGTTCTTTTAATTCAGACCGTTCCCTTGTCAAATCTTATAAGATTTTAGGACAACAAAATCACAAATGCTAAATATTCTGCGCATCCAAAACCGACAACTTTGGTGTACTTCCTTTTGGGCATAGTGCTCCTTTTTGTCAACACCTCTCACATATTATTTTCCTTTGTTGTTATTTTATTTAAAACTATAAATTTATTATTTTAATTATTTATTATATATATTTATTAATTTAAATTAATATTTTAGACTATTAACTCTACATAAATGAGTTAGGTTGTATTTTTAAATT